CGGGGTGGGGGCCGGCTGCGCCCGCGGGCCCCGCCGGAGCTCCGAGGCCGCTTTAGGGTTTTCTCTTCTCCCACTGACCGAGGTCAGAATGCCGAGCGCACGGCCGAGGATGCCGGCTAATGTCTACAGCATTTCCCGCTCCCGCTCTGCCTCCGGAGAAAGTCCGAGCGGCGGGCGGGCGGGCGGCACTTGGGAGGTTTCCGGCGGGGCGAGGGTCTGGGTACTGCCTTCTCCACTAAGGAATGATGGAGGTCAGAAGAAAGGATGGGGGCAAGAGAGTAAATACGAATGGCCTGGACAAGACAGGAGAGGACATTTGCTCTCTGCAGGTGCCTAGGGAGCCCCAGACAACTGGAGATCAACAGCCTCCAGTGTATTGAATTGTCAGATGATTTTAGTGTTTGGAAGGGATGCTGTGTGTGTGCGCGCACCTGTTATCTACAGTCGTAGCTGCGTATGTTACAGCGACATATTCCAAAATAAAATTAGGAGGTTACAGGCAACCTCACAGGGTCTCAGGAAAAAACAGTTAAGAAGACCTGGGCTACCGGGGGTGGCCGCCTAGCGCTCTGCTCCCGGTTCGACGTCCTGACCACGGAGGATTCCTCCTGTATCTGGAGCATCCCAGACCCCCGGGACCTCCCCCCCTCGGAAGGGGTGCGCCCCAGCCCCCACTGAGTCCGGCTTCGCTACCGCCAGGACTTCCGCAGCAGCGGGCTGCCGGGCTGCCCCGGAGGCGGCCGCTGCAGCCCGAGCCTCTGGTGCCCCTTAGCGTTGGCTCCGGGAGTTCCGAGAATGCAAAGCAACAGACGCGCTGGGAAAACCTGGGGTCCCCCTCGCTCCCGGCTCCTGCCGTGCCGGACGAAACTGTGGGCAAACGTATCCTTTTACCCGAAGGCCCTGCCCACTCCGTCCCCCCCTCCCCGCTCCCACCGGGGGCGGGAACAGAAGGCCGCGTGGGGCCAGCTCCCCGGTGCGCACACCCGGAGCGCAGCTCCGTCTCCAGCTCTCTCTAGCTGTCACCTAGGGCAGGGGTTTGCTCCACCCGGCCACTTACGGGTCAACCTTCCTTCCTCTGCTTCCTAATGACCTACATACTCTGTCCGGTGCACACTCACATGGGCAATACTATGTGCCATCGTTCTAATTAAATATCTCGGGAAAACCAGAAGGATGGATCCCCATTCCTATTCATTTTCCTCTCAGGGGGGACTGTGAGTGTTGGCACATGGAGAAGGGGGTCTTTTCTTTTCTTTTTTAATGGCAAGTTGAAAACCGTAAAGGGCAGGATTCAACCAGGCAGCCCTTTCCGCGCATAAGATACATACTAAATTTTACTAAACATGAATCCTTAGTTCATATAAAACGTACGCGGTAACCATCAAAGCTTGGTGCAGTCTGAGGGCTGGTTGATTTTTCCGTGTCATGTAATGTGTTAAAAAGACCATTCGTGTAGGTATATCATTCTGGCACTTTGGATTTCAACATGTTAAATTTTTTTAACTACATAGGAGATATAGAAACTAACCGATATATATATCCTATGGCAAGTTTATCCTTACCTCAAAGCATCTTTTAAATAAGCAAAAATTGAGGTTCTGTTGAAGATTAAACATGGAATAAAACTTTTTTTTTTCTGAGCTTTGTATGTGAACCCAGCTTCAGCTGAAGAGATAGTCTTTGAATTCTTCTCTCTTCTGATAGCTTAGATATTTTGGCATTGAATAAAATATTCTTTTCTCAACGAGTGACGTAGACCACGATATCCTTTGGAAAAAATCCCTTAAAATTTTAGAAAGCATTCTTCCCCCCTCTTATCGGGATTACTCTTCTCTTAAATTTAAATTTTCAACCCTCTTAAACCAAACCAGATTTAAATACAACATAAAGTCGGCTTGTGGACGTGAGTATAGGTCTGGCATTTTCTATTGTATAAATAAATATATGCGGAAGATATTATCTGAAGTCTGCATTGCTATTATGCAATAGGAGATTCTGCAGAACCTGAAAGTGAACATATCACATTCTAAATCCTGAGATGATTCTCTCTCCCTGTCGTTTTGAACTGGTTGTGTGCCCTTGTGATGAAATCTAGATGGAATGCAATAATTCAAGGCCTTTCTTCTTATAAACTCAACGTGAGGATTTTGTAAATTTTTTAGGTTAATGTTAAGACGACTTTTTCTTGATTATCTCTGTTGCCTATCTATCCTTATCTCTATCTCTAGATTTAGTTGTTTAAAACCTGGGTGGCATGATTTAATTTCACTGCTTTCTCCTATCTACCCTTCATTTTTTGTCAGTTTGTTTCTTCCTAATTTGACAGGTTTATATTTCTCTTGAGCTCTCCTGCGCGAGATAGAAAGTTCAGAAAATGCGTGGCTCGGGAAGCCCACAGGGTCCCTGAGCTAAGAAAGCTCACACAGAAAGCTCACAGGCAGACCAAACAGAGTTCCAAAACACAAATGTGATCTGAAGGCAGCTAGCATTTTAACATGAATATGGGAAATCCATTGGAGCCCTCCTGCTACCCTAAAAGGGAAAAGGTGAGCACAGTGACTGCTGTTAAGGGTTCTCAGGCTGAAATTCCTACACAGACAACCACTGCCCAGCTGTGCAGCAACCCACTGCCACCCAACCCAGTGCCCTTTGCACCCCATGTGCCTCCAAGCCTGGCAGCTTGGACTGTCAGCTCAGGTCAAACTCTTGTTCACAGTAATTGAAAGCTCCTTGGTTGAATATGAAAAAGACCTTAAGTTTCTGTTGCAAGAAAAATATGGCAAAAGTTCTGCTGAAAGGAACTCTCGTATTTGTTCTTAAAATAGATACTCTTTCTTCTCCCAAGTCCAGTATACTGTCATCTTCTACTAACTCCCTTCCCCAACACAACCACTTCACGTTTACTCGCAGCTTCAAGTTTCATGTGCAAGCCTGAAGCTGTGCTTCAGTGAATGCTCCTGTTATTGACAGACTCATAGAAATTCCTAAGGGATGTATTTTAAAGCTAAGGACAAACACTACTATTGGGATCAAGCTATTCACAATTACTCCAACAGTGTTTCTCAGCCATCACCTCTATTGAGGTTCAGGGTCAGATAATTCTTCTTTGCGGGGAGGAGGGAACTGTCCTACATTTTGCACAAGGTTCAGCAAGCTTCATATTCTCTACTCACAAACATCAGTAGCACACCCAACTCTCCCCAGTTCTGGCCACTCAAAATGTCCGCGAGCATTGGCAAATGCCTGGGAGCAAGGTCACCGCAGCTGAGAACCACTGCTCTAGGAACACACCAAAGTAATAGTTACTTAATTCACATCTGTATGGGATAGGTTCTGGCATCCAAGATGAAACTGTAACTTTTTCTTTATATTCAAGGAATTTATAATCTCAGAACTCCTCACCTGAGAATCACCACCTCATCACAGAATATTTTTAAGGGACTAGAAAATGCTGAACTCTCTTAACTTCCCTGCCTAATACAAAGTTAAGCGGGTAATTGACAACTATCGTTTAAATCTGGTCAATGTCAGAATTTGTGTGTTCATATATATTGTTATTATACAACTACTGTACGTACATTATAGACAATTACAACAAATAATCAATTTTAAAAGTTATAAGTAATCCCAACACCCATATATAGTCATTGTTTCCACTCTGTAGCATCTAGCATTTATTTTATATTATAAATCCCATTTGGTGACACTTACTAAACCAGACTTTTAAGGACTGAAGTCGGAAGTATGATAGCACACATATCCACATTTATTAGATAATAATGCAAATTTCTCTTCAGTATTGCATTGTTAATTTTAATCAGAGACACACAAATTCTAATAGTGTCT